TCCTTACTGAATATTTCTAATTTGAGTAAAAAAAATAGAAATAACTATTGATTGGAAGTCGCGTTTCCTTTTACAGGATAAGTAAAGTTGGTCTGTTCTTAAAAAATGGCAATTTTTTAACGTCACTATATAATCATAATTTGACTACTTATAGTGTGTAGTGTTTTATACATGAAATATCTACTTTATGTGAAGTCAAAAAATGTTTATTTTATATGTACAGAGAGACTGTGTAGCAATTACCAATAATTCCAAAAATCATCATGGAGTTTATAGAAGAAGGAAAGCAAGCTTCTCTTGTTTTCGACAATATATCAACTGGTAGATGAAGTGGCAATGACGCAAATTCAAGCTCGACGTCATGGTCCTTTTATTTGAGTCACTAAAACTTTAATAAACATACCACCTGTGCATCTCAGTGAGTGAGTGAGTGAGTGAGTGAGTGCAAGCATTGGACGATTTTATTATAAGGCTTTTGCACATAACAAGGTCTAATGTAGAGTTATTAAAGCAAGACATACTCGAAAAAACAAAAGTGTATCTATCTTAACAAACATCTTCATTGGAAATGAACATGGTAAGGTTACATTTTTTTGTCCTGAAATCAGTTCATCTTATACAAAATGATGGATCAGAAGAGGAAAAGAATGTGTTAAAAAGTAATTATATTTCAAATGAAAATGTTAAAAAGTACGATTCAATGCAGGTGTTCTCGTTTATCTAAATCGTTAACACGAGTGGAATTTGATAATTTCACGTCTTATCTACATTCAAGCGTTCACCGTACACAGTTTTTTCTATAATATCAGCAGTATTTTTTATATTTCTGTCATTTTTTAAGATCGGCAGTGAAAATACGCTAGAATATCACAAAACTTGGTGTAACGCCCTACGATAATATATTATGTTCCTCTTAAAACAAATTTGATTTAGATATATGAAAGAATAGTAAGTAACCAGTGGCAACATGGCCTCGACTTAGAGATAGAAATGAGATAAATACATATCCTGAGCTAGATAACATTTGCATGTGACGATATTTTAGTTAACAACTGTAGCATACAATCTGAAAGATAACTTCTTTTTTTTTCGCCATAATAGTTATGCCCCCGCTACAACTTAGGGATATTAAGATAAGGTCATGCTCTCCGTCCGCCCCATTGACCTATTATCAAGTTGCCTATTCTAAGAATAACAAAAACAATGGGATTTGTGAGCATCCGTGTCCTATGATTTCAATTTCAAAAGATGACAGTATATTTGTTTTAATTTTCTTCATTATTTATTGGTAACATTTACTTGATTAAAAGGCAGGGTTATTATTCAGCCTTGTTATTTAATATTATCAGTTATGTTTCTATCCTGGACATATAAATTTATCAATTATCCAATACTCAATCTTTTGAAATTCGTTACTCTTTAAACTCACCATCACTTCGGAAACATGTCATTTTCAGCTTAATTGTTGTATATCAATAGCCGCAACTATAGCTATACACCCATGACTAGTAAAATTGTACTAGAAAAGTTATAGATGGTCATTCTTGCCAAGAATCAAGAGAAACCAATCAAATAAATATGTTTTTAAGATATGGATGTGGTTAAACTTTCACACTGCAACATGCAAGAGCCATGTCTTCTATAGCATTTAGTCTTTAAAAATGCTGCATCGTTGCGGTCTCTTTGGACAAACATATTTTAAATAAACCAAGTGAAAAAGCGTGTTACCCATCTTGCAGTATGTTTCGAAAAGCAACCCAACAATATATGAGTCTGTTTTGTCGACCGTTAGTATTTGAAACAATAATATTTCTCGTCTTATACATTCCGTATTTCCATCATTGGTTTATTATATGGAAATTATCCAATTAACAAGGGAAACGACCTGTTATCATAGCGATTTGGCGGGAAATACCAAAAATCCTTATTGTTTTTTTTTTGTTATTTTCAATACGTGCTTTATAACAAATATCGTTATCAGTTATTATGTTGATTGAGATTATATAGTATTTGGATGTCAAAACATTAAACATCCTCTGTATCACATATAAACATCTGCAGGTATATTGTATGATCGTAAAATATAAGAATATTTATAAATATCAGTTAGCATTCATCTAAAACAATGCTTCGTCTATGGACAAATGTTTAACATTTAATTATATCTTTTTTATTCTCGCACTAAACATTTACATAAAACACGAATTGGCATGTTAATACGGAATGGCTCCTCAACAAAATCGAAGATCTATAAATGTTTACGAGTACAGCTGCAGTTGAAATAAACATAATGTTGAAAGACAACAATGAATTATTTATTGTTATATGTACATGTATATACCAGTAGTTTCCTTGTCATTGTCAATATTGTGTAATGTTTGATCTGATATGCAGACTCAATCTAACCGAGTCTGCAATGTTCATGTCCTTTTGTTTGGATTAATGGTACCGAGGGATCACACTTTATCCAAATATCCAATATTTTTAATGTATTTTATATTAAATCTGATTTATTTTGTTTTCAAGTTATTGTACAGTGGTAATGGTAAGATTTCATCTATTTATTTCATTGAGAAATTTTTCCTTTCAGCTGATTAATTTGATAAAATGTGTAATTATATTATTTGTCATTCAACTATATATTTGCGATCCTCTTGTATTTTGCATTGTCTGTACGTATACTGGTTTGTATGTTTCCCGGAAAGGAGGAAAATTGACAATTTGTTTTAAGTTCATCCCTGCTTACACAGTTATATTTTTTACCTGGTAATTATTGACTTAAAAATAATTAGTTTATTCATTACAATTACTCAATATTCATTTTGAAAAAATAATTTGCCTTACAATTAAGGTTTAAGACATTTAGTTATTTTGAAGACTCTTTTCACGTAGGCGTAAAAATAGAGTAATAAAGAATCCCTAAACAACGCACAAAACGCCAAAATTTAAAATGTTGTAGGCTCGGTTTGATAGAGCCAATTCATGAACGGTAATGGAACGTGCAAATTACCGTCCACGCCCCGTAGCACCGTCTTAAGCAATATTCAACATTTAACATGAAATGGTAAAATTTTGAATTTTGAAACATCCGCAGATGTGTTCATATGGCGCTCATCATGGAACCTACAGTATGACACGTTAGTGCCATAAATACATTGTGGTACCAGCTCTACAAAACAAAGACAGTGTAAGTTCTTGCGTTTTGTATGCTTTGTTTTAATACTTTGGTCTTTAGTCTAAAGCTTTGTATAAATCGTTGAGGATAAAATATAAGTAGCACACCATCCACAGCTGATTTAGATAGCGAAAGAATAGTTCCAAAATGCTCAAGTTTTAGCTCTAATTGATTTCAGAGGGTTTTATTTTTCCTGCATCTGTAATCTAATGTTACTTTATCTTGCAATTATTTTTCATTTTCGCATTCATTTTCAACAAGGAGGAATATTTCGATTTTCATCAGCAGTGTTTTGATTGCTCACAGTATGCGTTGTTAATTCAGAGATTTCTCGAATTACCGAACAATCTTCAAGATTTTCAACAAGTATTCAATCATTCTATCTATCCAATAAATTTTGCACCTGTTAAAGGTTAAAGCAGAATCCTGGTTTTTATGAAGAAAAAAATCCATCCAGCCGAGCTGCATTGGTTGAAGGAATAAAAATATCAGTAGGGATCCAACTTATCTATCCTGTTCGTATTTCATGTTGAAGTATAGGATAAGTATATTAAACATCATTTCGCATTTAAGTCTTAACTTAAACTAATAAACTTAAAGGTGAAAAGGTTAATATAAGACAAAAGACCATATCAATCTTCACCTCTCTAAATAAATTATGTTGAATAATATGATAAGTGGCTGGATTTAAGATTTCATTAAACTTTTTTTCAATTTATTTTATCACATTACGTTCAGCCTCCGTCGATGACACGACTTTCTGTCTGTTGTGCTCTTGTTCACGATCGACACTTATTTGATACGCATACGATCGATATGGAATCTGATATAAACAATTGCAAAAAATTTAAGTATTTTTTGAAAGACGAATTACTTTAAATGCATTATAGATAATTGAATATACCTAACTGGCTAATTTTTGCAATTAAAATAGCAGCGATATCCAGCTAATTCATTTAATGATATTCTGTTATTTACTTGCAGAATCAGGCCATTCAAGCATATTTCTACTTTAGAATGTTATCTTATTAATAAAATACGCGAAAAAATCACTTTAACATGAATGTATTACAAATTTTCAATGCCAATTAATGCAGGAATTAAACTATATTCATCATATTTTCCGGACGTTTTCAATTATTACTGGCGTACAACATATTTGCTTATGCTCTCATTTAAACATATTTCGAACAAAATGAAATAACTTACTTTTCATTAATATTTATTTGTTTTTGATTAAGTTTAAACTTGAATTCATTTAATAAGCTAGTTTGTAACGCAAGCAAGTAATTAATTTGACAACTCTTGCTAATTGGTGGCATGTGGAGAAACGCGGTCGAAAACAAAGTAGGGATCGAACCTACTTTCCATGAGTTCAGAGGCATACATTATAATCTTACGAGGGAGAGGTACAGACTTGTGTAAACAACTTATACATCCTTTCTATGGATTCGGATTAAAGTATAAAAACGTAAGTACTCAAATGAAATATTTACGGACAGACGAATGGTAGCTTAATGGTAGAAATCGACCAACTCTCGTATGAAGCAATTTGCAATGTGTTGTCTTAAGTATTTCCTTATCCAACACTTAAAATTTAAACTTTTAGTTGTTGAGAATTGAGTACTGCTTAAGTCGTCGCTAGGGGTCGTGAGGGATGTTGCACTTTTTCAGTCCCTCATGTGCAGACTCAATCAAACTGAGTCTACAATTTGCATGTAATTTTGCTGATTTTAATGCTTTCGATGGATCACTTTTTACCAGATATTTTTACAAATTAAATCACCATTCACTTTATCGCATTAGCTAAAAATCTTGTTCTTACCTTCCATGACATAGACTAAAGACCCGACATCTCCTTCCTTGATTATCAAGCTGTTCTTGGAAAACTCCACTGGATGCATACATTCTACTATGTCGTGGATTTGACTCAATTCGAGATTCTTCATAAAATCATTGTCTAGTATGGCTCGTTTGATTAGTTCTTTGGAACTGAAATGACAAAAAGTGTGTTTTTAATATCTATGTTTCAAAATAATGAGACAACTTGGTACTAAATATTATGTTTATCAATAAAGCAAATTAGTTCGTTTGCGGATTCACTCCAGAGAAACACGTTACGTTTGAACTTATTGTGATAATATATTAGAACTAGATGCTCTGCTTACAATAGATTTTAAGTTTGCAGTTTAACAAAGATGGATTGCTCCACAAAGATGTACTGAGAAACGTCACGATATGATCCCTAACATTGACTTACTTTTGTACGACACAAAAGACCAAGAAAATGTATTTTAGGACAAAACAACTTTCACAATGTTATGTAAAAACATGTTACAACTACAGATTCATTCAATCATATAACTAGCCATTTTATGTTTAAATGTAAAAATTGCAAATGCATTGTATCTGTAGTATAAATTTTATTTTTATTCATCTCATAAATTATTTCCAAAATCTGTGTAACTTCTTGAAAGAGTAAAATCTCCAAAAATTAAGGTTGGGAAGCTGCTTCCATGCACTACGGAAACAACCAAGCATTCCAATTTTTCGATGCATTGTATTTGAGTAAAGATAATTTTTGTTACTTCCATATTTTTTCTGCTTATGTACAGTTAGAAAGTCGTTATTTACACTTATGTTTTAAAAGATATTACAATGCAATTAGCAAATTACATCTATATTTGAAAAATAAGACTCCATTGCACAAATGCGAAGAAAACTGTTGATATTTATAATTGTCAAGCTACTAGTCAAATAACTAAAAAAAGATAAGTTTCAGAATAATATCATTGACAGTAAGAAAATATACCAAGGAAAAGCGAAAAGGGTTAAACTATCATAACATTATTTATGTGCCATCTTTTTTTTCAAGCATATAAAGTAAAAACTTATGTAGACCAGCCGTTTGAAGGGAAACTTTGATTTTACAACAACAATATCATTTCTTCCTAAAATAAAGATTTCAACTCCTTTTTACATCTGTAGAGCAACACCTCGAAGCAACAACCAATATATCTGTCTCCCAAAAAGGTGTTGGTCTGGAGAGGTTATACTGTATTCTGCTTTGCAACATGAATACCTTGCCGTGTAGAACAGTAAGCAATAGATTTACGTATATAAAAGGAATTTTTGTGTTTGATCTTTTCCCGATCATTATCATGTAATCTGATGAATGAACAGTTAAAAAGTTGTTATGGTCTTTGTTAGCCAATTTGAAAAAAAATGATTTAAATGTTTTGTTGTCATTGTATTTTGATAGTAGGAATATTAATAAGTGTTGTTCAAAAATGTTTTTCCAGTTCCGTCATGTGGAGTTACTTTAAAACAACATCGAGCAATAGTTATACGACATCTAAAGAAATGTGTGAGCAAACTACCACGGTAATGAAAGACCGGTAATGAAAGACATAAATTCATTTAAAGAACAGACTGATTCAAATATCGGAACAGAATATAGATATAAGCAAGCGCATTGGTGGTGCCAAATTACCCCCATCATTCCAAGAAAAGCAGTAAATATTGAAATTAAGCCATCAGAACGACAGGCTTTGAACTGAATTCAAACAAATTCATTCACACCACAGCAGTTAAGATCAAACTTTGAAAAGAAGAAATAGTTGTGTCAGTTCCGTTAATTTTCTTAAAGACATATTTATAATAGACGTTTGTTAAAATTGTTCCAGCAGAGAAATTCTTTGCAGCATATTGATGGTAAAGGGACCCTGCTGAGCGTTTTTGACATGGCTTGATTGGAAATATTTGTTTTCAAGATTATTATTCTATTTGATGTAGGTCTAGACCAATAATTTTTGTTCAAATTTTTAGATAATTCACTCACTTCATTTTCCAGAATAATAGTTCAAATTGTGAAAAATGACCTAAAAATTGAAAAGCGTTGCAACGCTTTTCACTCACATACGGGTAAGAATAACACAAAAATGCGATTTTCAATTGATTGCTGAGTACATGTGTATATTTCCTTACTATTGCAATCTTTCTGTTAAAGTTCCAAGCTGATCTATGTAAATAATTCAAATTTTATGTTTTTAGGCTTTATTTAAATTAAATATATTTATTTGAGTTGAACGTTACGTATCACATGGGTTATAATAATAATAATAATAATAATAATAATAATAATAATAATGATAATAATAATAATAATGATAATGATAATGATAATGATAATAATAATAATGATAATAATAATAATAATAATAATATTAACAAAAATGATAATTATAAGAATGATAATAGAGCTTGGCCCAATGTACAAAAGTTTTTTATTAGGTAGATTTCCACATTCATAAGCGTAAATTTGATAGTAAATCAAATTTTTTTTTCTCTTTTTATGTTTACATTGCGAAATTCTCCAGTTCGCTATTCATTGTACATATCGCGACATTTCATTTTTAATGATCAAACACCCTCATACCAATCGGAATCATCGGCTATTATGACCGACTAAAAGGCCTGACAAGTTGCAATTGCCCTTTTTCATTCCACAAGGGGCGTTGCGCTTCGGCGCGGACGCAAATAATTAATATCAGATAATGTATCTAAAACGTGCCAACAATTTTCATGTATAATTTTTCCATGGATTGTTGTTATGGCTAATACTTAATACTACTTAAGTAATTATTTGTTGTGTTACAGACTTTCCATTATATACCAATTCACTTTTGGACATATGAATTTACACGGTTGCAGCAAATCTATGATACATTTTCATTTTAACAAAAGCTACTTTGCGGTATCATAAATTTGTTACGGAGGTTTTTAGCAGGCTATATGACTGACTGTATATATATTTATATAAATAGTTGTCTGCTATATAACCTTAACCTAATAGCTTAGGTTATAAAAGCCTACCATCGTTTCAACTGGGCTGTACAATTTATTTATTTTTATTTTTCATTTGTAGCAAATAGCATGTACCTATCTTGAATAACAAACATTTTTGTTTACAGGAAAGCCTTGTTAAAATGGTGGGACATTAACCAAACATTTCCTTGATAGAAAGCCTTCTTACCGAATACTAACCTAGAATTTTACTCAAGAAAAAAAAACTAACTTCAAACTTTGGTTATTGCGAAATGTTAAATTGTTTGGGTAAGTGTCCAATAACAATAACTATTTTCCGTCTTTGTAATCGTTCAAAAGTAATTAACTGAGAGTTCGTAATTTACCTTTTTGTCTGAACGTAAATACCATTTTTCAGAGATAATTGACTTTTTGAGTATGTAAAACGTTCGTACTTATTCTTTATACTTATTATAGATTTATTATCCTCTTATTATTTCTAGACAACTAAATTTCTTTATAGTGTCTGGCCGTTTAAAGGAAGAGTATGTATCAATATTGTCTGCAATCCATGCTTTTTACATGTACATGTTCTTGTATATTGAACATATCACATGGTTTATATAATGATCAGTTACAAATACATTATTCTGTCAGAACGTATATTTCACTGAACTTTGGCAATAATTACTTACTTTCAGTAAATACAGTATATAATTAGATATTGACTATCGTAAAGATTAAACAATACATCATGTAACTATCAATCTTATTGTACGAAACAATGAGAAATGAGCCGTGTCACGACAAAACCAACATACTGCGTTTGCGACCAGCATGGATCCAGACCAGCCTGCGCGTCCGCGCAGTCTGATCAGGATCCATGCTGTTCGCTATCAGTTTCTCTACTTGTAATAGATTTTGTAAGCGAACAGCATGGATCCTGATCAGACTGCGCGGATGCGCAGGCTGGTCTGGATTCATGCTGGTCGCAAACGCACTATATTGGTTTTGTCGTGACGCGGCTCAAATGTTTACAGGTAAACAAATGCCTGGTCATCAAATTATCATTAATGCTAATAACTGGTGACCGGTAATCGCAGCGCATTTCGAATACGAGATACTCCCCTTTAGAATCAGTTAAAGATCCTGTATGTTGTGATCAAAGTGGTAAACCACACTAAGTGAAATTATATATATATGTACATAATAATGCAAATAAAATAATTGTTTAAGATCGAAGAATATGTACATTATCAATATGTACTGCAAATATGTATGCATATTATATGTAATCACATTAAAATATATGCATTCATTTCTTATTGTAAAATTTGACTTAAACTTTATAGAAAATAGATTTTTATTAACTCCCTTTATTTACATGAAATGTTAGATTCGGATACGTCTTTATAATTAATGCTTTTCGGAACCTAAAATATTGATAAATTTTAATTTGAGCATCATATTTATGAGTTAAAACCATGAGAAAATGTGATACAGGATCTTTAATATGTGATACAAGTATAAGATACAAATTGAAAGTTGTATTTATAGAAAGATATCATTGTGATACAGGAAGGAAAACATAAGCTGCAGATATCCTTCATAACATATATTACTATCTTTAGAAACATTAAAAGAGCGTTTACAAGTTTGCATGAGATCTTTTACATTGTTCGGTTCAATATAAATTTTGCAGTTGTGTACGAGTCCAATAAAATCAGTATTGTATACAGCAATGTATAATGACTTCATTATATTACATCACAAATTTTAAATATTTTGATAGAACTTTTATACTCCGAGTACAATAGAGATTTGATATGGTCTTTGTGGACTCAGAAAATGAAAACGAGGCTATATAAGGTACAATATGGGTTTGGTATTGATTTATTTTCTCAGGAAAGAAAACGAGACTAAATTGATAAGATTGATTGAATCAGTATCAGATATCTTTAAATTCAATATAAGCATCTGAAATTTAAAAGTAAAAAGCTATAAAGTGTAATAAACCTTCCTCTTTCTTATGACCACATATTTGCCCCCAAGAAAACAATTTCTTAGTACAATGAAATAAAAGAATGCACCTGGGTTGTTTTACGATTCATTCATTACTTAAAGGCGGGTTTAAAAGTTCAACTTAAAGTACATACAGCAGTATATTTTGATTTACTGCGGGGGAAACATTCTCTTATTTGCGAATGTTTTGCTATCCTATCTTTATCTATTTTTCAATACTTTTGTTGCTTTTTAAACTGTGTATCCTTTTGATAGCTTTAGAGAGTAATAAAACTTTCGGCACAAACTGTTTACATTATACTGAAAACGTTTGTTTTTATTCGGATACTTCTGAGAGTTTGAAACTTCCCACCTGTAACAATTACAAAATTTATGCACGAGCGCGTCTCGTGAAATCTTTTGGAATTCATCTTTTGTAAGGTAAAGAATGATTCCTCCGTATTTTCGGACTACAGTCAAAACTTTGCTTCAAGACATACGTGTATATAGTCAACTTTGCTGGAATTTGTATTTAGAATTATAACTAACACAAAATTCAAGAATGTATTAACAAGTTGTAGCAAGACTCATCCTAAGAGTCAGACACATCTTAAATTATTTTCTTGTCCTTTTTCAAACTTTCAGACGTCAATGTACCTGGAAATGGCTGTTCGGCAATGACTGTTATCACATATTTATGTTATGTACACAAATGTACACAATAACTAGCGTTTTTAGAAACAATTTCATGGACGAATTCATGCAATAAGTTAAAGGTTCTCGTAAAAAATATATATGAGATGTACTTAAAAACTTACCGGAGCGGTTTTTTGTGGCGCTTCAATTTATGATAATCAGTTACTCTAGTTTTACAAGATTCGGCTGATATTGCCTGACGTTTCTGTCTTTCATTTGCTCTAGACTGAACCGCTGCCGTTATAGAAACTTTAACAGCGGATTTGTATTTTTCTAGTTCATTACGTAACGACTGAATAAGTTCATCCTTTTCATCTAGTTCCTTTTCTAATTCGTCAATCAACTCATCCCTTTGTCTAACTTCCTCCATCTTTCCTGCTAGAGCGATTTGAAGATCTCTTAAAGTCGCCATTAATAGTTCAATAGAATCATACATTTATGAGGTATTACGGTATTACAATCTCTTTATAACTGTCTTTAAGTTTTTTCCGGATTTCTCACTAACTTAAAAGTATATGTTTACAATAGTGTAGTTACATCCCAAAATAACTTACAATGTGGTTGCACTTTGTTATATTGATCGGTTATTTCAAAATAATCCACCACCAAAGGAAACGTGTTTTTCATTGATTAAAATCTTGCTCCGATTGCATAAACGTGAGCATAATTGATAAAATATCATCCAAAAATACTATAATGCGGTTTGTATTGCAACATCGTTTAAAACTTTAAAAAAAAATATCCACACCAATCCATTCAACGTATAACTCGCTTAATAGTTCCCCTTAAGGTTCACACTTTCACTATAAAAAAACAACAACTTACACTTAATATAATATATATTTATACTTATATACTTATGCGATTTTCGTTATAATGTCCTCGGTTTATTAATTATTTCCGCCGAAGGATAGACACTAACAAACGGAAAATAAGTATTTATTTCAAGTAGGATGATTTAACAGATAAGCTTTATCTTAATACACCGTACAAAACCTTCAGATTGTGCACACTATTTTAAAACACAAGCAATATTCTTGGAAATGGCGAGAGTCATAAAATTGAATATAACGAGACTGCATGCCTTGGAATTTGCCGCAAAAATTATCTCCTGTAAACTAAACTCAAGTTTATAGATTACGGTTTACTCCCTTTTATGTTTTTTACGGGAGTTATTGACGTTATCCTATTATGTAATCACGTTTTTTATGATTATTCATCAAAACTTAGTGTATATTACATTGTACAATGGTATGTTTTGTAAAACAATAATTGATATTTTAAAAAAATAATAACATCCAATTTTCTTCTTTTAAAGTGCACAAATTAATCCATACGCAAAAATCGTTTCGTTAAAAAGTAAAAATAAAGTTGAATAAATATATTAAATGCGTTCGTTAATAAATGCATTAAAATCCGACAAATCTTTAGTCACTCATAACACTGATACGTCTTAATTCATTTTACACATTTTTTTCACGAAACATATTTTACATATACACCGGTCGTGCTACTTCTACAATCACTTTAACTTCCGGTGGCCGAACTCATTATTTCCCGAAAAGACGACTTATCACCTGTGATAAAACAGATAAAGTATCGCGTGTAAGATATTATCTGATAATAGCATCAGCTACCTATCTATTTAGATAGCGGGGAGCAGTAATTGGCATCGGCACATAATTGAATTAATTGACAGTTTTCAACTACATCAATTATACAATTCAGTATATGATAAGCAACATCAGCTGTACGCTATTTTGTTCTCATAATTTTGGTCTTCAAAGTTACATTGTATTCATTGCCAAAAACGATATTCAAATAGAGAAATATAGTTTATTTCATCAAATATAAGATAAGTAAAAAGTTTAATCAAAATTAACAGATGAAGATGAGTACTACTCTAAGCATTGATTTCGAAGTCTTTACCCAATGACCAACCCCCGACCAACAGTCAGTCGGTGCGAGGCTTGGAAAGTATACATGACCTCGGTCACATTTTTATAGATAAAATAACTTTTTTTATTCAAAATGTTTTAAAACGTCTTATTTTCAACAAAGCAACGAAAGAAGGTTGCCTGTGGCCCGGTCGAATTTCTCAGTTTAGTATGTATTAAGTCATCTGTGCAATATGTAATATATACGATCTAACAGCATATTTATAATTCTAGAGTATAAATGAATAGCGACTTATATTCAGTTTTAAAAATAAAAGAAACTGTTAGAGTCTGCAAAACTTTCATTAGCCTTAAGCTTAAAATCATAATATCTCAGACAAAGCTAAGCTACTTAGCATGATAATAGATTTTGTTATTGCATCCCCACTCTTCAAACACTTAGTCAAAGTCATTATTTCCAATGTTTTCCTTCAAGCATACATCTTGTCATAAATTCGAGTATGTGAGACAGTGTGAAGCTGTCCGAAATGATTATAGCATACTTGTTCCGTGTTTAACAAATGGGTTAAACAGGAGGGGAAATTTTAAATTGTATGTTCGGCTTTTCATGTGCTTTGCCTAGTCAATAGTATAAGAATTAGCTTATTCCAAAATTCCTCAAATACTGGTATGCGTGTGCTAGATATATGAATGTTATTTTTTACATTTTTTTTCATTCAAAAAGTCAAGATAAAAATCTTAGAATCTTAGGAACTGTGATTTTTTTACAAGATTTTTTTGTTTATAAATTTATAAAGAAATGAGTTATTGGAGAGGTCATCAGACCTCTCCATAGTGTTCAGACTGATTGCTGGCGGCATCCATTTTTGCGTATCTGATTGCAGTGAATGAATCTCATTTTAAGCGTAAAATCATTAGGAGCAGTCTACAAAAATTGTTTTGCGCATGCGCCTTTTATAAACACGGCTTAACTTAAACGAAAAATTAACATCGAAGTGAACAAATCGGTCCATAGAAAAATCGGAAAATATCATTTATGTTACTTAACACTACGTGCATGGATGCTTCATTCCGTAACTGTATAAATCGATCACCGTATTGTTATCTGAATAACGTTTTACTATTTCACGTTTTGATAAATAGTTACAGTGAACATTATAGCTACAATATAACCATGCACGATAGATACCCCTTCCGTGGTCGAGGGGTTAGAGTCGATAACTTTTAATCCAGTAAACTCTCTGGCGTGGGTTCGTTCCCCGGGAGATGCTTTTTTTTTGTTAGTTTAGCGCGGAGGAAGGTTGTCTAGTACTGGTGTAACTCTCCAGGAACGATGGTTAGGAAACTACCCGCCTATATGACTAAAATACTGTTGGGAAGTGGCGTACAATGAAACAAACAAACATATTATATGACCGAGTGAACCGTGTATTGAACCGGTATATCTAAATAACGCAAAGGGAGATTTTTTGGCGCAAATGGCACACATTTTATCTCAAGTTTGATTTTCTTCTAATGTTGTGGTTGGAGGCATGCACCTTTATATACTGTTTATTCCAATAAATAGTATATAACAGTGTAACAGTATATAACAGTATTTACTGTTTATTCCAATCGAATGATATCAACATTTTTTATGTAAACTTGTTTGATTAACATACTTTATACTCGTTTTGGAAAATGTAGAGGAAATGCTTCCTTATATTTAACAAAACAGTGACCGAAAATTTGCTTATTGAACTTTACTAGAAACTTTTATTTTGAAAATACTTTTAATATATATATAATTTTTCTACAAAGGGAACTGTCTTTAAAATACAAATGTAAATGATATATATCATTTAATTTATATTAAGTAATTTTACAGGGAAACGGACAAATATCTTTTTTCTTGTATATCTATTGTGCGTATCTGCTAATATACAGCTGTAAGCATTCAAATAAGATATTATTTTTCTCTTTCTTACTAAATTCTAAAACAAAAAATACTTAAATAGGTGTTTGTCTATTTGTACTTTTTTGTGAGTTGTTTTATTCTTCAATCATTTTTTTCTCCTTTTTACTGTTTGCTCTTACATATGTTACATACTTAACTCTTAACTATTATGTGAATGTCTTTGAATACTTCAACTAACCGTTGTGTATGATAATGCCATGAACTGTGATATTGTAAATTATTATAACTGGGAGAGGACATTTATAAGCTTTATAGCTTTCTGCCCAATCCCAAAATGTACTTTGTAAATATTGTTCACTTGTTAAATGTTTTGTTGAATAAATATCTAAACCAAGTAATTTTACATTTTTTTTGTAGAAAAAGTATCCCTAATGCGCCAAGAAAAAAGTCCATTTCTCCGGCATATAATCTTTTAAAACATTAAAAAAGATGAAATGTATTTAACAAACTTTCATTGCAATATATATAATAAATTCTATTTTGTTTAATAATTGTAATTTATAAACATTCATTGTGTCTGTTATGCAAAAATATCCCCAAATATTTTCGACAGCAGCAAAAAGACCTCTCGCAGGCTTCTTTTTAAAGAAGCAAACTTGTTATTTTTCAATGATATTATTTCGTTCATTATCATTATCACTAATTTTACTATTTTTATCACCGATGTGTTCGACATTGTAAAATTATGATGATTAATATCATCATAACCGTGTTTATAACATTTTTATAACGTTAGCTACATCAATATAAAGATAATAATCATTTACGATGGGACCCATTGTAAGTCACGTGATAAACCAGTGTTGCTGTATCCAAGCAAATGAATATATGAGCCGCGTCACGACAAAACCAACATAGTGGGTTTGCGACCAGCATGAATCCAGACCAGCCTGCGCATCCGCGCAGTCTGATCAGGATCCATGCTGTTCGCTATCAGTTTCTCTACTTGTAATAGAGTTGGTAAGCGAACAGCATGGATCCTGATCAGACTGCGCGGATGCGCAGGCTGGTCTGGATCCATGCTGGTCGCAAACGCACTATGTTGATTTTGTCGTGACGCGGCTCATATGATTAAACCATACTAATTTAATTAAAACTACAATAAAATATAAAACATTTCAGACAAAGGTTTCATCCATCTTTATCTCAGAGTAACATAAATGGACACACAAACAATAAAGCATCCAAGTTAATTTTTATGTTTATGACAGATGCGCATCATCAAAGCACTTGTTTATGATCACGAATGGCGATATGTAAACAAAGCACGATTTATTACTCCGCAACTCGGAAGTGCATGAAAACATCTAAGGTACGCAAGGCAATCTCTACGGCAAAATAAATTAATGATTTTACGATAAAGTTAATGATCGGGTAATCAATATCAATTACGTAACAGTTTGGTATAATATCGTAGCACTAATCTGAACTTTAGAGAGGAAAAAAATTCTCTGAATTTCAGTAACATCACTCGAACCTCAAATTTCCGACTATCTTTTATTTCTCTTAAACACGTCAGGCCCTGGAATGTTGAAACTCGTGATTTATGAATGAACATGTCAAAAATACGATTTGAAGAATCCCAGGTAATGAATGTTGAAAGAGGCACTTTTGCTCACAAAGATACCTTAATTTTTCTACCGTTGTAAAAACGTGTCTAATAATAGAAATAAAACTAAACCCAGTTTAAAAAATAATTAATTTTAAGAAAAAATATTTATCAGCAGACTAAATGTAAATAATATCATTTAAGCTTACATGTTTCTTCTTTGTATATTTTAAGATTATTCTTGATATTTCAATACGAATATTTCCAGTGTAATTTCTGTGCACGATTTTTACGGGATTACATGAGAAACGTCAGTACGCACTGTAATTTCAATTACGCGAACTTCTTATCAGTCGGGCATACTTCCTGATCGGGAAACAAGGGGATTTCCCCTCAAGGTTTCCCGATCAGGCAACAAACGTCAAAATCTTTCCCGATCGGGAAGTTTTTTTAGGCCTTTTTTATGTAGTTTAAGAAAAATGGCCGGTGCATAACAATTTTCAATCCACTTCAATATGAATATTGCATTTTGGTTCAGAAAAGATACATCTAAAATCCTACCGAGTCATTTTCTTTTTAAATGTTTACAATTAAAATAATCTGAAAGTGAACTTAAGTAAAGTTTTTAGATTTCACCAAAAACTAGCCACTTCCCGTTTTGGGAACATTGCTTCCTGA